ACCAGTGCAAGCTACGATGGCGCGTCGATGAGGGGTGAGGGGTGTTTCGTAGACTAGTCATGGGGTGTATCTTAAGCTCGCATACGTTTCGAAACTTGGAGCCATCTTGGGACTCTCTTGGGGTTCTCTTGGGGCACTCTTGGGGCCCTCCTGGAGCTCTTTCTTGGGGCTCTCTTGAGGTCCTCTGGGGGCCTTATTGGAGCCCTGTTGGGGCTCTTTTGGGGCGTTTTGGGGCCCTCTTGGGGCTCTTTTGGGGGGTCAGGGGGCCTTCTTGGGGCTCTTTTGGGGTGCCTGAGGGACCTCTTAGGGCCGTCTTGGACCCTATCGCTAAAAAAAAAACGGGGGTCCTTCATTCCTGCTCCCCCCCCCATCGGAGGCTCAACCATGCCGTCTTGGGGCTCTCTTGGCCCGCTCTTGGAGCGCTCTTGGGCGCTCTTGGGGCCGTGTTGGGCCCTTTTGGACTCCTCTTGGGGCTATATTGGGCCGTCTTGGGGCCATCTTGAGGCCTCAAAGGCCCATCGGAGGCGAAAAAGCGAAAAGGCAAAAACCATTGATTGTCCTTTGGTTGTTGAAGGGTTTTGGCCTCTTGGGGGGGTCCTTGGAGTCCTCTGAAGGCACTTGGAACCGTCTTGGGGCCATCTTCAGGTCTCTTGGACGGTGTCTGAGGCTATCTTGGCCCATATACCGCTTTCTTCGACCATCTTGGAGGCCATCTTGCGCTCTCTGAAGCCCTCTTGGAGCCATCTTGGACCAAAAAGGACCCTCTAACACCTCGCGGGGGAGACTGTCCAGACGCAGGGAGGGGGGGAGGTCAACCTCCCGAGCAGAGAAATGCAGGAGGTTGGAAAAGGAAACGCCCTAGACCACCTGTGCCCAGGGGGCTGGTGGGATTTGGAAAACGCCTGTGCGCGAGGCGAGAGCTACATTTTGACAACGGCCCGCCCTCAATCCGAGAAGCCCTTGCAGATGTTTAGAACGAATGTGCGCGGCGCTAAGGCGAGAACCACATTTTGAAAACCACCGCCCTCAATCCGTGAAGCCTTTGCAGATGTTTAAAACGAATGTGCGCGGCGCTAAGGCGAGAACCGCATGTTGAAAACGGCCCACCCTCTATCCGTGAAACTCTGGTGAATCTTCAAACGAGTGTGCGCGGTGCTAAGGCAAGAACCGCATTTTTACAACGACCCGCCCTCCATCTGTGAAACGGTTGCCACTGTTTTAGCTTCAGGGTCGTAAGTGGTGAGGAAGTCTCAGGCGAAACGCCCGGCCCGCCCTAAAAACTGGCCTCGGGGCGCGACAGGGAGAAGTGATGTATAAGGAACAGGAATTGAATGTAATTGCCGCTCTTGTTCAGTGCCCTGTCTGATCTGGCACAATCGCAACGTCTGAGCGTCTGAATTTGCGCGGGCTTCCTCTTTCCAGAGTGTCAGCGTCCACGTCACTTCGAGAAAACCAGGAGGCGGACAAGGAGGAAAATGAGGATATCGATGGGTATCGATACGAGGAAGACCTGGATGAGGAGGTCGAGTTGAAGACCCGTTTGTGTTCAGTGTGTTGGTTGGATTTGCGTGGGTCCTCTGTCTGCTTGTCTGGTGCCTGTTTTCTGTCTGCTTGTCTGCTTGTCTGTGTTTCCCACTTGAAGGCGTATTGGACGCTTGTTGCGAGATCCTCTGGGCCTGTTGAAGGCCTCCTTGGCCTTCCCCGAGGCCCCTGTGGGGCCTATTGGGCGCAATTCGCGGGCCCGGCGGGGGTCTCGGAGCGCTCTTCGGGCTGTGTCGGAGCGGCAGTTTGAGGCTATCTTGGGGGGGTCTCTTTGGCGGTGGGACAGAGCACAAAGAAATAATGAGCAGGATGGATGGAGGAGTAGCAGGGAATGGCTGTGATGGCGGGTGGTGATGATGATGATGATGATGATGATGATGATGATGATGATGATGATGATGATGATGATGAGGAGGAGGAGGAGGAGGAGGAGGAGGAGGAGGAGGAGGAGCTGTTGATGATGATGATGATGATGATGATGATGAGGACGCGGAGGAAGAGGAGGACGATGAGAAGGAGGAGGACGAGGAGAAGGAGGACGAGGAGGAGGACGAGGACGAGGACGAGGTGATGGCAATGTTGGTGCTGATGACGAGAAGCGGATGGAATTTGAGGCCGCGATGAGTGTTACGTAGGTTGGGGAAGACGAAGACGGGGACGAGATGATGCTAATGATAATGATGCTGATGATGCTGATGATGGTGATGATGGTGATGATGGTGATGATGGTATTGTTGGTGATGATGATGATGATGATGATGATGATGATGATGATGATGATGATGATGATGATGATGGTGGTGGTGATGATGATGATGATGATGAAGATGATAATGCTGATGATGCTTATTGTTCTGATGGTGGTGGTGACGATGATGATTATGATGATAATGATGATGGTGACGACGATGATGATGCTGCTGCTGGTTGTAATGATAGTGATGACGATGATGCGGAAGGTGAGTGGCATAGACGTGTGGTAATGGATCCATGGCCCGAGGCGCACTTGGCGACATTCAAGCTGGAGGTTGACCCACCAGCGTCATCGAGGATCGCGGCGGAGCATGAGCACGGATGTCTAAAAGGCGTCGCAACTCCCTCCGCTGGTTCCATTGTCATGACTTCGTCGCTCGAGGGCAGACAGGATGGTTTCGACTTCGGATTTGGGCTTGGGACCGTTTTGGGTGCATCCTGCGGGCCATGACGAGAGAATTTTTCCGGGCCTGCATCGAGCTCCCATGTGTTGTGCCACCTCGGGAGATCTCGGCGGCGTTTGGGAGCGGCTTGGGGCAACCTTGGGGCCACCCTGGGCAATGCCCGGACCACATTGCGAACCCTGTTGGCGATAGTGGCGCGCATCTTGGGACATCTTGTGGTCGCCTCGGGATGCGGATGCTGTTGTCCTTTTTGAGAAGCACCGCTGTCAGGAGCTTTTCATGCGATGAGGGGCTGCAGGTGTGGCAGGATCCAGGAGTCTTATGACACCGAATCGACAACAACGCGTGAGAGATCAATGCTCGCACTGTGCGAACGCCATGCGTTTTCGACTTCAAGCCGCGAGAAAGGCTGTATGGGGTGGCGGCGGAAGTAGTTGTACCGCCCTCAAACATCAATGCTTCCATTTCCTGGCATCTGCAGACAGCTCGTGTTTCGTTTCACATTCGGGCGAACTGTGTAAACAGTCATAGCAGGTCGTATCAGCCTCAATACTTGCATCCAATGTGGCGAGACTTGTCCAGCATATTCCTCATGACTAGTGCTATCATCCAATACCAGCTTCTCGATGCAGTCTGATTATAGAAGCTTCGTGTAACCACCAGCCCATCCAGTAACGATGCCCAGGCGAGATGCCCTGATCAGGGATGTGGAGGAGCACGTGCTGGAATAATGGGCTGGGGACGCCGTCACACCTCAAGAGGGGGAGACTGGAGGAGGAGGAGGAGGAGGAGGAGGAGGAGGAGGAAAAGGAGGAGGAGGAGGAAGAGGAGGAGGAGGAGGAGGAGGAGGAGGAGGAGGGGGAGGGGGAGGGGGAGGTGGAAAAGGGAGGAGGGATAACGGAGAAGGAGGCACAGGCGGAGGAGGAGGAGGAGGGTGACTACTTCCCTGCCAGCTGCGAGCTGGGCTCTGTCTTCTACAGCACAACTCTCTTGCGCTTTGCTCCCAGACTTCTCGCACCAGAGGGTCATCACATTTCAGGCGTGCGTCTTCCATGGCACTGGTGGAGGTGCTCGCGATCTGTACCCGGGCATCTCAAGCAGTGCTTCTGTGGCAACCGACGGCGCGCGCCAGCCAAGCAGGGGCCAGCGCAGAGGCAGCAGTCCAGGCAGTCGCCCCGGAGGCCATCGCGCCCGCCCCGCGAGCGCCGAGGCGACGGGAGGAGGGCCGCAGCCGCTCGAGTTCGAGCAGCACCAGGCGTCTCAGCGGGTCAGATCCGGGCGTGCCTCGATGGGTGCCCGGCGGCTGCCCCCCGGCAGGCGAAGGCCTACCGCCAGCACGCGGAACCGCCCAGCTCAAGCAGCCAGCAGGAGGGCTCGCGCAGGGATGCGCTGAAGAATCCGAAGATCTTCAAGCCGGGCCTGTCCCTCGACAGGGGGAATCTTCCAAAATGGTAACAAAAATTGCCGGGGGGCATTTTTTAGTATATGTGGACCATTTTGGATGATTTGTTGAGTATGTTTTAGTTTTCGTCGCAAATCCCCCGGTAGGGGACACGCCCGACTTAACCATATCTTGGCAACACTCGTCCTGGCCACGCGGGCAGCTGGTGCAGACGACGAGGACAGCTTACACGATATCTCAGTGCACGAATATGGTCACGCATGTCTCGAGCCCATCGAGACTCGGAAGCTGAGGAAGCGCAAGGCCCAAACCGATCTCAGCATCAAGTTAGATCGCCTCACCGAGCACATCGAGGAGCTCGAGAAGAAGCGCATCGAGGGCGAGGAGCAGATGGAACACCTGCAGGCAACGTTGCGTCAGCTGGAGGAGGAGGAGTTTGCCCAGTCCCCAGTCCAAGCGAGCGGAGCTCCCCCTCCTGCCGCGTCAGCAACAGCAGCAGCAGCAGCAGCAGCAGCAGCAGCAGCAGCAGCAGCAGCAGCAGCAGCAGCAGCAGGGTCAGCGCCACCGCCGCCACCGCCGCCTCCTCCAGCCGCGCAGCAGCAGATGCAGCCAAATCGGTACTTCCAGCTCAATCCACAAATTGGCTCAGGCGCGGCAAATGCACACGGCTTGGATCAAGGGAGCGGGCAAGGGGAGCCACGTCCACATGCCCTACCCGACATCGCCGTCAACGCCGCTCCTCGCGCCCGTCGCTCGCAAGCAGATGCCGCCCCAGTGGATGCAGGTGATGAAGATGGTTCAGCAGGGAGCCCCTGTCGCCAGCTCCACCACCGCGGCTGCGCGGGAGATCCCCTGGAGTCAAACGAGCTGGCGGCGAGGAGGGCGCGCCCCCCAGGAAGGAACCCGCACGTGCCACGGAGGACGAGGCGGCGGCATTGGAAGCGCAGTTGCTCCAGTTTGCGCAGGCCCAGGCGGCGAACGCGGGCGGTGCGCGCACGCCTTGCCACAGAGCCATGGGTTCGCAGCCATGCGCGCCCGCGCAGACGGTGAACGCCCAGTGGTTTGCACAGTGGCAAGCGGCCCAGCTGGCCGCCCAGCAGGCAGCTGGCACTACTGGGCCCCTGGCGGTAGAGGCGCCGCAGTCCTACGAGCAGAAGTGTGCGGCCGTCAACCGACAGCTGTTCTTGCTCGGGATGGGAGTGGGCCAGGTGGCATAACGACCAAAGCACTTGCGACGGCCACAGACGGTGCAGCACCACCACGGGCTGAACGCGTACCTGGTGGGCCTTGGCAATGGCCCCATGCCGCCGAGCTTCATGCCGTCCTCCGAGGTGCCGGCGATGCCCTGGCAGTTGTAAGAAGGAGGTTGCAGCAGCGGCGGCGGCTTCAGGAGCAGCCGCCATCGGGGCGGATGCTTCCCCAGCTGGGCTTCCTGGCCGAGTCAGCGAGGAGGTCGCGCCAATGGACCCAGCGATGTTTGCACCGACCCAGCCAGTTGGCACGGCCCAGGAGGAGATCCCATGCCCGGAGAGAACGGTGAAGGCATGAGCCTCGCCCCAAGTGCGCGGCTCGAGAAATGTGCGGATCGGATCAAACTTCTCCAAGCAAGCGTGCGCTTCCTGCAGCAGAGCCCCCTCGTCTGGACCCACCTGGTCTCCGTCGGTTGCGCCTGCCCCACGCCAGCCGATAACCGCTGCGTTGATCACTTGAGATGTCGCGCCGCGTGTCAACGCGCAGGAGCGAGATGTCACGCCGCTTCTGCCAGGCGTGGCGGGCTGCGCCCTGGCAGCGCCTGGGGCGCAGCAGGAGGCCGTCGGGGCTGGGTCGGAAGGGGTGAGGGGCGGCGTAGGGCGGCCGGCCGCGGCGCGCCCTGAACCCCCTCGGGCAGAACGCCATCAGGAGCTGAGATGCCGCGCCAACTATGATTGCAGCTACCAGCGTCGCCGGCGCGGACTCGCTTGGAGATGCGAGTAAGCGGATGGTCATACCATTCGCTGCGCAGTGGTACCCTTGCGTGTAGCTCTGGGGCGTGCGCGGAGCTCGCGCAGATTTCGTGAGCTGGCGCGTCCTGGCCGCGTTCCAGAATTTATTCAGATCTCACATGATGCCCGACATCAGCGCTTCGAGAGCCATGGTTGACTGCGCCGAGGAGCAGGGCGCGGGGTGGCTGGCGCCAGAGCGAGCAGCGCGCGAGAGGCATGCCGCGAATGCGATGCTGATGGCGCCCGGCCAGCGGAGCGACCTCCCTCTGAGAATAGGCGACCCCCTCATCTCGGGCCCGAGGTCCCGGGCGCTGCCGAGGGCCGAAGTAGCGAGCCTTCCGCTCTAGGCGACGGGAGCCTGCGAGGGCGAGCTCGCGTCCGCCGCCCTATCTCCGAGCCAGAGGATCGCTCGGCCAGACCAAGGCTGACCCCTGCTGAGGATTTTCCCGGCTCGAAGCCCAAGGTGAACCAGATGGTGGATCGAATCGAAGCTCTGTCTTCGACGGATCTCGTCTCTGGTTCCTCGCCTATCCGAGTGTGCGGCAGGGCCCCTGCGATTAGGTCCGCGTCTGTTCTCAAGGCTCGGAGGTCTGCTCCTTTCGATGCGCTTCCTGATTCTCGGATTGGCGAAACCATTGCTTTTCTGGCGTCGACGCAGGTCCTGCCCGGAGAGAGTGAAACCGACGATGCTGACCTCTTCCAGGACCGGAGTCTGCTGGGGGAGCTGCGGGCGTGGTCGGACGCTCCTTCTGGACAGGCCCTCCCCAGAGGCTCACCAACGTTACTTTTTAAGGATGGATGTTGTGCAACATGTTCATACACTGGTAAATTTGCAACATCATCCACCGGTAAGATGCAACAGTGGATGCTGTCATCCACCGGTAATTCAACCACATCCACCGGAAAACCAACGTCCACCGGTATTCCAGCATCCACCGGTAATCCATCAACACATCCACTGGTCACGTTGCGGTCAATATTGAACATGACTTACTTCGCGCGCGCTCTTTTCTCCCCCTCCTCGTCGTCCTCCCCCCCCCCCCCCCCCCCCTCCCGTTCAGTTTCGTCCTCCCGCGTGTGGCAGGTGCCGCATTTGACCGCACTTTCGGCGGCGATCGCTGGTTGAGTACGCGAATGTGCGCTGACACGGTGTGAACATCCGCGCGTAATCACGCGTCCGCGGGTGCCTAACGCGGTATGTGCAGGCGCGCGCGCGTGCCCTGGCGTCGCCGACAGCATGCACCGGTAAAATTGGCACCCACCGGAAGCCTAAGTACATCCACCAGTATTCATGTTTAACAGTGAATGCGTTTTTAATCATTTAAGCTCATGCACCGGTAAATGGCCGACATCCACCGGTAAAACCAACAGTCACCGGTAAACAGGCCGACGCGAGCGCAACGTTAAACATGTAACAGGGAAGAGCTTCTGGGTCTTTTAATTTTCGGATTTCAGGTGGGCCCTGGAGCTATTGCCGCGGCTGCCGAAGTCCTTTCCAAGAACCCCCGACGAACTGGGGATGGCCTGGAATAATTTCACTTCCCAGGAACGCGCGCTGTTTGCGGTGTCAGATCGCCCGGAATGGGAGGCCATTGTGGCCTCCAGGGCGGTCGAGGTTCTTTCGCCGGAACGCTGTCGCGTTGTTCGCAGGAGGTCTCTTGACAGGGTCGTCTCGTCTCGATTGGTGAAGCGGGTCGAGCGGACAGAAGTGGCGGGGTCAGCAGCTGAGGCGAAGTCGTGCCGGTGTGTCCGTAGGCATCCAGTCCCTGGTGCTGAGAGCTTCTCCGTGCATGCACCGACCCCGCAGTCGGAATCGATCGTGCTAGTTTGTCAGATAATCGCGAGTATGTAGTGGGCTCTGAATGTTGCCGATGCTCAGAACGCTTTTTACCAGAACAGCCGTTTTCGCAGGCCAGCGGGGGCTATTTGCGTGGGGCCATGCTCAGGGCTCGAGCTGAAGCCAGACCACCTGATAGAGCTGGTGGCTCCTGTTTATGGTTTTAACGACGTGCCACTTTGGCATCGTACGCTAACGGAGTACCTCGGGTCGCTTGGGTGTGTTAAGTCCTTGTAGAGACCATATGTGTGGCTACGTCGAGGCCCTTCAGGAGCCCTCGATACTCTGGCTCTTGTCGAAGTGGACGATCTTATCATCGCGGGCACGAATTCCTCGTTTCAGGAACTTCGCTCGAAGCTGTGCGACCGATTCATGTTCGGAAAGTGGAAGGAGGTTCGGAGTTCGCCGGTCGTCGGATTCGCCAGCTCTCGGATCGTGAGCAGGTGTCTATGGTGCACCGAAATATAAGGGGCGTCGCTCTACGCCGGGTCGCGCGCTCGCGCGGGCCGAGATCGCGCCCCATCGCGCGGTGGTCGCTCAGGCGCAGTGGCTGGCCCGCGAGCGGGGGCCAGGCGCGGCGGGGCCAGCCTCGCTACTGGCCGCCGCGCTGCCCGGGCCAACTGTCGCCGGCGCTCTCCGCCTAAACAGGGCATGCAAGTATCTCCGGGGATCCGCCGAGCAGCGAATCACCATCTGGCGTCTGGGCCCGGCCCCCCGGGTTTTCGTCGCCGCCGGCGACGCGGAGGGGCCGGGGTCGGCCCGCAGGGGCGGGGCCCGAGGGGCCTGGGTCATCATGGCGGCCGAAGCCGCCAGCGCATTAGCGCGGCGACTTCAGCGTCTGAAGCGAGCTGTTGCGAGCGCTGTAGCAGCAGAGGCGCTGGCCCTGAGTGGGGCCGCCGCCGAGGCGCAGAGGCTGCGCGCACTGTTTCGAGACGCTGCGTTCGGGGGCGCCCCCGGCCCGCATGGTCTAAAACGCTCTCCCACTTTTCCGTCCTCTTGTCCTCCCAATGTTCCCTTAGCGAAGACGCCCGTGGCTGACGCAAAATTTGTTCTTGACGCGTTGTCGAAAAATGCTGCGGGGCCCCGGGCCGACAGGCGGAACGCCGAGGAGCTTGCTGTCATCAGAGATGCGCTGTCGGGAGCGGGGTCGAGAGTGCGATGGGCCCCGCGCGGGCGAATGCCCGCTGACCCGTTGACCAAACGGGGCCCGATGCGAGGCAACCTCGCTTTGCGCGATGTTCTGTGTCGTGGGGGTCTCGTTTTGACAGATGAGCACGGCCGCGTGAATCAGAGACCTCTCAATGGTTGTCTAAAGTCAAGATCGCGAGGCGCCAGCAGAAAAACCATCAAGTCGACGGTTGCCGCGGAGGGTTTAGGTGCGTTCAGGGTTGGGAGCGCCGTCGATGGCACCATCTTCGAGGAGATGGCGTTTACGAGCCGGCCTCGGTTTGCGGCGCCCTCCCCAGGAGTATGGGGCAGTGTCAGCGCCGCCGTTTCACGTGAGGGCGCTGGTTCGAATTTTTCGTATTTCTCTTCTTCTCTCGTCGTCGTCGTGGTCGTGGTCGTCGTCGTGGTCGTCGTCGTCGTCGTCGTCGTCGTCGTCGTCGTCGTCTCTCGTCGTTCCTCCGACCCGGCAGATCCAGGACCCGCGGGGCAAGGCCTGGAAGGGGGAGAAGGAGGAGAAGGAGGATACTGTTAGGTATGAGGAGGATCGCATGGAAGTTTTGAGGTCGAGGGAGCGCAAGGCCGCGAGGGTTAGTCCCGCTGTCCCCCGTGGTCCCACGGAGCCCTCGGGGGTCCCCGCCCTTGTCCCTTCTTCGGCCCCGCTCTCGACCTCCGTAGCTTTTGGCTCAGATATGTGCTCTCTCCGTGCGCCGTGAGTCTGTATAAAAGATCCCCCTCTCGCCTATATCCTCCGAGTATGCCGTTCGATGATGCGACGCCTCAGGGTTTTGGCCCGTCTGGCGCCTTCGGCGGCTGTTTTGGGGGCCTCTCTGAGCGGTCGCGTGGCGTTTCTGCGCCGTCTTTAGTGTCTATTGTGCCGTTTTGGGGCCCTCGTGGGGCCGCTTTGGAGGGCCGTCGGTCGCCTTTCGGGTTGTATTTGGGCCCTCTTGAGCTCCTCTCGGCATCTCTGCTATGTTTGGGCCATCGTGAGGCCCAGAGACCCATGGGGGGCGAACGGGCGAAACAAAAACGACCAACATTGTTTCTCCGTAGGTTGTCCCTTCGGGGGCCGCGGGGTGAGGAGGTCTTGGCGCCTCTTGACCTTGTGCGCGCGGCTATCGTGAACCGTCTGCGGCTGGCTTGTGCCATCTTGGAAGCAATTTTGGAACGCCCCAGGTCCTCTAGGAACCGCCTCGGGCCATCGCGCGGTCAGCTTTGGTCATAT